CAGGTAAGTTCTTACATTTTTTTGTGAACCTGGGGCTTGAACTCGGGGCCTACACCTCAAGCCACTCCACTAGCCCCTTTTTCGTAATGGGTATTTTTCAAGACAGTGTCTTATGAACTATTTTCCCAGGTTGGTTTCGAACCACAATCCTCCCTACCTCTGCCTCCTGAGTAGCTCAAATTACAGGCATGAGCCACCAGCACCCGGAGGGATCTTATTTTTTTGTCTTTAGACTGCAATCCTCCTGTAGTTGAGATCACAGGTGTGTATCACCATGCCTGGCTTATTGATTGGGATGGAGGGTTTTGCTAACTTTTTTGCATGGGTTGGCCTCGAACCATGATCCTCCTGATCGCCACTTCCTGAGTATCTTGAATTACAGGAGTTAGCCACCATGCCATGTTCAAGGCTTCTAAACTTTTGAGCAGTTCTAAAACTTAAGAGTCTATTTGGTATTGTAACATTTACAGCCTAGAACAATATAGTTAGTGGGAAAAGGATAAGGCTTATTTAATATACTTTCATTATGAGAAAAATTTCACCTGATTTAGAACCAACACAAACTCTTAACCTTTAAACAAAAAAGGCATTTTTTGCTTTTATTTCACCGATTTATGTAGCCTGTTTTCTAGGACCATTTTGTTTAGCTCCATCATTCACAATAGTCTAACATGTACTTAAGAGTTCAGGTTTTCTCCCTAATGTCAGTCTCCATTAAAAGAGACTCCTCTGCTCCTTGGTGAGAAATGTATTTCATGTTTGAACAAGAATAATTCAATTTGAGTATCGGGTTATCTTAACTATTATCACAAAGAATTTTTCAGCAGTTCCTGATGTAGGAGAAGAATGTGATAAAGAATAACTGAGGTTAACTTGACAAGAAGGCTGATGGGCCAAGTAGAAACAATTTGAATTTTCAATTGGAAGTGATTACACATTCACCATAAATGCAAACATAAGAAAGACTAACATCCACAAATGTCAAAAGAAAATGTAGAGTAACTGGAAGTTTCATACAATGTTGCTGGCTTGTAAAATGGTATAATCCTCTGGGAAAAGGTCTGGCAGTTTACACACACCTAATGGAGGACCCAAAATTCTATCACTAGAAATTTATCCAAGAGAAATGAAGACATACATTCACAAAGAATATGTTCAACAATGTCGATAGTGGCTTTATTCCTAATAGTTAAAAAAAAAAAAGAGCAGAAACAGCCCAGGTATCTATCAGTAGAAAAACAGAAAAACAAGCTATGACATATTCACACAAAAGAATACTCAGCACTAAAAAAGGAATAGAGAGGTGATACATATAACAACAAGAGACAATCTCAAAATCATTATGCTGAATCCAAGAAGCTTTAGAATATGCAATTTTAATCAGGGATACAAAGATTCAAAACAGTAGTTATACATGAGGGGTGGGGAACAGTAGGGATGAACTGGGAAGGAGTAGCAGAAAACTTTCTGGGATAATTACTATGTTCTAAAATATGAAAATTATTTAGATTACACATTTGCAAAAAACTCAACAAATTTATTTTTAAAGTTTGTGCATTTCATTGCATGTAAATATAAAATGAAACATTAAAAACTAAATAAATACAAATTTATGATATGTATGCTAATGTGTTGTGGGAAGTTTGCTGACATCTGCAACTTATTTTGAAATGCACTAAAATGCTAGACATATAAGTAATAAAACCAGTAAAATGTTGAATCTATGTGGTTGGTGTTTGGTTATTCACTAGAAAATTCTTTCAACTTTACTGAATATTTAAATTTTCATAGTAAAATGATGGAGGGAAGATCCTTAGTTGAACAAAATGAGTATCGTTTCTGAATGACTTCTAAATATGGAATGAAGAACCATCATTTCTGTCAAGTTGTGTGTGAATTGTATCTTATCCAAACTTTGTCTGAAATGTGAATAGTTAATAATCACTAAAAAAAAAACAATAGGGAGTGAGGAAGCAGGTCATGGAAAAAGTACTTGCCTAGTATGTGTGAGGCCCTGGGGTCAATTCTCAGCCCCAAAAGAAAACAAAAACCTCATACTTACTAAACATTTTCTTGTGTACTCAATATTATAATTGTCAGTATGCTACATATGAGAGTTTTCAAGAAAATTTGGTATAAATTTGCCAAATAAATGTAGATATGTTTCTCATCTGTGTACTTATTAGCTGTGGAAACTTGCACAAATGAACTTTCAAAAAGTCTCATTTCCCTCATTTGTAAAAGTTTCTGTTTTTTTTTAAAAGAAGTATTTATAAGATATAAAACATCCAATTGTTGGAAGAATGTGGAGTGTCTTTATTTATTTAAGTAGAACAATGCCATCATTGCATTTGTTAGTTCAGATAGTAACTAAGAGGATTTGTCTTGTTTTCTCTCAGAGAAATAATACTGTACAAAGTTAAAAAACAATAAAACTGCTGCATCGATATTGTGAAAATACAAGAGTAAAATGCAGAAGTGCCACTCTTTTCAGCTTAATGTCTGCATTTGCTGAAATAAAGCTACCCTGCTTCACTTGCCTTGCATTAAATACTTGGAGATGTTTTGTGGCTGTCATTAGCACCTGTTAAGTAGGTGGACACATAGCTAGAGTCACTAAAACAGTCAGGGGTGGAGAAGGTAAGTTAGGGCAGAAGGCTATTAACCACCACTCCCTTCTACCTACAATAGAATGGCAAAGTCTCAAGTCTGGCAGAATTAGCAGTTGCACAACACTGGAAAGCTGTACCTTCTGGGGAAGCATGTAGTATGTTTTTTGCTATTTGTGACATCTACATTTCCTACATTCTTTTTTATCTTCTGTATCTTTCGGCATCTTCATTATTTTAAACATCAGCCATCCTATTAACAATCATGCAGCCCACATTCCCATATACTGCTACAGCTGGCCAAAGCTGCAGTTGCAGCTTATCTTTTTAGCTGGCACGTATCTCTCCTGCTTGTTACACTGCCTGTAACTCCCTGCTGTCTTTCGTACTAGGTCTATTTCCCACCTGGCTCATGTGGTATTTGGACCCTGGTCTAGTTTGATTTTGGCAGTGGAGATGCATTAAGAAGTTCTAAATGGTCACTTAATACCTAGACAGCAAGTATCCCAATCCCTTTCCCTACCAAAAAAGCCAGATATCTCAGGTACTTCTCAAATGCCTTTCTGAGTAGATGAGCTCCTTTCTACCATTTCACCAAAAGAAGGTGATCACCTTAAAGAGAATAAACTCTTAAAAAAAAAAAAAAATCTCTGCCAGGACTGAAGATACCCTGTTCCGAAATACTATTGCAATGGAAAGCAAATGCTCTGCTGTTGTACAGCAACTGCTTGGAGCCCCTACAGCACTGCTTACTTTCTTTTTTCTGATATTGTGCCCTTCTTATTGGATTTGTTTCTCAAGATATAAATTTATTTGGCAGGATGGTTGAGATGCAGCTAGTGTATAACTGAAAGTTTGGACAATATCTAGCACACTGTAACTACTCCACTGCTTTGTAATCATAATGATGTTTCTAAAATGCTCTGAAATCTTCAGATACTAAATAGTAATATTAAATATGCATAAAATGAGAACGGGAATATGAGAATATTAGAATTTAACATATAAGGATAATTTTATCATCTTGTTCCTGAGGTAATCACTTCTACTTTCACAGATGGTTATTATACATTGGATCAAATCCAGAAAGATTCAATTTTAGCCCACATATAAATATTTCACCTTATTCTAAGATGTTAGCACAGGTTGTACATCACTAATCTGGAAATCCAAAATCCAAAATGCTCCAAAATCTAAAATTTTTTGAGTATTGACACAACTGAAAATTCTACACCTGACCTCATGTGAAAGAATGCAGTCAAAACATGGGCACACTAAAAATATTATATAAAATTATCTTCAGGCTATGTGTATATGGCATATAGGAAACATAAAAAATTATATTTGTACTTGGGTACCATCCCAAGATCTCATTATATGCATAGAAATATTCAAAATAAGAAAAATATTTGAAACCTAAAACACTTTTGTGTCCTAAGCATTTTGTAGAAGGGATCCTCAACCTGTAATCTTTTATCTATTGTACAAAACATGGTTTTAGGTTTGTTTCCTTTATTTCTTTTAATTTTACAGACCCTGCTACTAATTTCTTGACATTTATCCTTAGTCAAGTTGATCATAATAAACTTGAAATCTATTTGTAAACTTGCCAGGGCATGACTGAACAGAATTTACATAATTCCTAACATGGGATCTAGCCCAAACTGAAGGATTTTAATCTTCAAACTAAATTTAATTCCATACTAAACTTGAATCAGCAATGATTTCTACTGCTGTTCTCTGTCTCTCTCTTAACTAGTTATTCTTTTGAGATTGAGTCAGAGAAACAAGCTGAATGTGGATTACAAGCAACTGGATTTCTCAGGCAGGAAGCATAAACATTTTCTCCTTCAACTTAGGTTGCCTTTATTTAACATTCTGAAAAGTGTTATTGGAGTTTAAGTATCATAATTAGCTCTGTTCTAAAAAAAATACTCCTTTCATAATTAAACCAAAACTCTCTGTGGCTAATCAGGCAATTCTCATGCTAGGAATAACTCCTTTACTGACTGTTCTACAGGGAACCGACTAGTACAGGCCAGGTTACCTGGTACCTTTATCTTCTTGCATAGATATGAAAATATTTCCTAAACAGACAGTCAGACTCACTAAATAAATAAAATGGTGAATCAGAACAACATCCGTATCTGTATTAAGAGTTAAACAGGCTACCTAACAGATATTCATTTAAGGTTTGTATGGAATCTTCTTTACTAGTCTATAATAGAAACATAAATACTCAGTGAGAACATGAAGCCAATAGAATAAAATCAAGGATGAAAACAATTTGGGAACCAGAACAAATTCTTGTTATTATATACAAATATAAAACATATATACATATATTAGATTTTTTTTAAAAACGACCATGTGATGACATATTTTTGGCTCAAAAGTATGCTTTCACATTACATATCTCATTTCTCATCCTTAAGCAAAGTTTGGTAGAGGATATAGGATTTCTTTCTGTATCTTTTTGTTGTGGTTGTTTTTTGGAGGTACTGGGGTTTAAGCTTAGGACCTTTTGTTTTAGGCAGATGCTCTACCACTTGAGCTGTACCTCTAGCCCTCTGTATCTTTTGTATCTTCATTTTTGTCTCTCTCATAGTGTTACCAATCAAATTTTCATACTATCCTTTACGTGCCATGGTAAAGCTCTGCATCAATGACACTCTCCTCAACAACTTAGAATTAATCTTTCCTTTTCTGCTCCCTAGCATTTTATATTTGCATTAGCATCTAGCTAAAAGCTCAAAAATGCCAGACCTCTTGGGACAACATTCTCAAAAAAAACTTTTATACAATATGCAGTTCTCATTATCTATGAAAAGAGTTTAGACTTAGTCATCTAAAGTTAACATAAGACCTTTTTTGGAAAATATTGCAGAATATGCCACACAGATACTAAAAAGGAGAAATGGACATAGCTGCTGAGTGTATTTTAGTCTCATAAGTTACCATTATCTTACTCGTTTGAACAACTTCTGTTTATGATCGCTGCTTCTTCCCCAGGGTCACATACCATCTGGTAAACATAGCAGCTGAAGACCCTGTTGGGTTTCTGTTCTATATGAAGCACCAAGTCTCTGTCAAAGTAGACTTCATGGCTATATGTCTGTAACAAAAACACAGTCACAGTCATATGGAATTTGGGATTTTATTTTTAACAGAACCATATACATTTATGTTGTTACTAAAATGTCATAGCACCTGTGCTAGGGATCTTCAAATACATGCAAAGAAGCAAAAGAGGTGCCAGAAATAGATTTATTCTTCATTATTTATGGCTATGCAGATTATTAACGGAAAAAACACAGTACAAAACAGAATGAAAAGAACTCTGGTCTGAGAAGTCTGAAATCCCAGATTCTACTGTCAAGACAGTTACTACCTATCTCACTATGCGTCCATATGCAAGTTAGGCCTCTCAAGTTAAACAGTGATCAAACAAGACCTAGATACAATGCCTGCCGTTCCCTTATATATACTCTAATAATTAAGAGCAGGCAAATATTTCAGTACCTAGAAATCCAACTTGCTTAGATATGTGGGGATTCATTATACTATGTCTTCACTTTTTAAAATGTTATAGACTTATAATTGGGAGAAAATCAAAGAAAGGAAATAGCATGTCTCAGGAAAATGCATAAAGTTTTATCTTCAAGGCCACTAGTAAGAAGGCATCCCCTCTAGTACCAAGGGGAGGAAGGCTGAAGAAGTACTCATTTTGTCTTGTGTACTGGATAATAACTTCTTTCATGTGGTTATTGGCACAGGTGAGAATGGACTGATGTGAACATGTTCTAATAAATGGCACTCATAAAGAAAACTCTTACAACCTTGTATCCCAGTAATTTTACTCACCACATCCCATGACTCCACTAGTGGAATGCTTTTAAGTAAAGTTCCATATTCATTGCAGTGGAAATCCAAGTGAGCTTTTCCCTCAGCATCTATTTGAGTCACAGCTACCACAGAAAGCAAATCCAACTCATCTTCATAGTCCACAATTTTGAAAGTCTTGGAGACAGATGAATATGGCATAAGAAAGAGGAGTCAAATCCAGTTAATGAGTTAGAAATATTCTTACATTGATAGTTGAACTACTATATTACCTATAAAAGTATGGCAGAAAGAAGAATAAATGGGTGAGAGAATCAATAGAAATGTGTCTTTACTTAACAGCCTAATAAAATATTAATTCCCAGGTTTCCAAAGCTAAGTAGTATCCTATAGATTTTGACAAACAACCAAGTCAGTCAAAGTATAACTGAAATTCTCTATAATGACAGCAAACCAGAGCATATTCAAACTCAAAAGAAGTATCCAGTTGCTACCTCTGACATGTGTGTTCATGGGTTCCCAGATAGGACTAAATATATGAAGTTCGTATCTGAAACTTAAAGACTGCTCTCTGAGCTCTAAAAGTTATAACACCAGAAAAATAGTCATTTCTGAAAGGAATGATAACTCATCACACACAATTTATATTGTTTGCCATCCTTTTTTTTTAAAAAAAAACAAAACAAAATCTTTTTCATTCTTTAAAGAAAGCAAAATGACTATTTACACTTGAGGGGGAATATTAGAAACTAAAATACAACTAACAGTATAGGACTGGGTCAAGAGGGGTTTTCTTTGATAAAAAGAAAAAAAAAAAACCAAAACCCAGAACTCTGTCTCCAAGAAAAAAACCTGGAACTTACAGGGGAAGTAGATCATTGTTCAGCCAGCCAGGATGAACCACAGGAAGGCACATCTTAGCTGAAAGCCTGGTATCAACATTCAAGATAGACACAAACTGAAGTACGTACGGCTCAAGTGGTAGAGCACTTGCACAAATACATATATTCATATATATGCTGTTTTTAGACAGCTGCCACATTCTGTGCCACATCTAACCTATTTTAAAAGATTTTTAAAAACTATCTTTAGAAGGCCACTTTAATGTTTCCACTTACATATGGTCACACAAACAATGTAGGTTACATGGTTTAAGTGGATTTAGTATTTATGAGATGGTTATATATTTTACATAAGCTGTCAATTGATTTCATAATATTTCTAATGCTTCTTTATTTTTTTCTTTTTATTTATTTATTATTTTTTCTTTTATTCATATGTGCATACAATGTTACAATGTTTGGGTCATTTCTCCCCCCTCTCCCCCCTTAAATCCCCACCCCCTCCCTCTCCTCCCAACCCCCTCGATACCAGGCAGAAAATATTTTGCCCTTATTTCTAATTTTGATGTAGAGAGAGTATAAGCAATAATAGGAAGGAACAAGGGTTTTTGCTAGTTGAGATAAGGAAGCTATACAGGGAGTTGACTTGCATTGTCTAATGCTTCTTTAAAGGAAAGGGATAAAAATGTACTAGTTTAGTGACCAGCAATGTCAAGTTGAGGATAAGCTGAACTGCTTTGTTATACTTTCATGCTGCCCTTCTGCCCATGAATCTTTACAAACCTATGTATGCCTAGTAAGTAAAATAATTAGGCAAAAGCCATAAAAAAGTAACTCAATTTTCTATTAAGGAATTTTCCTTAGAAAATACACTCATTAACAAAATAATAAGCTAATCACGTTTTCAAATTATTTTGGCCCTATGAGTCTTTCTGCAAACAAAATCTTTTTTTTTTTTTTTTTTTTTTGCAGTATTGGGGCTTGAACTCAGGGCTTTTATCTTGAGCCATTCCACCAGCCCTATTTTTGTGAAGGGTTTTTCAAGATAGGGTCTTGCGAACTATTTGCCCAGACTAGCTTTGAACCACAATCCTTCTGATCTCTGTCTCCTAAGTAGCTAGGATTACAGGCATGAACCACCAGCACCTGGCTGCAAACAAAATCTTACCAATTATTCCAACAAGAGAAGATGATGGAACTATACTGGCTGAAATAGGACACACATTCAGCCTGTAAGGAATCCTCTCCCAGTATCTACTCCAGAGTCTGGGAAGCACTAATTTGAAATTTGCCATGCAAGTACACAATGATTTGGTTGGTTATCTTTGGCCAAAGTAATACCTCTTGTTCTGGGTCGTCATCCAGAAGGTTAAAACTTTTTTTTACCACCCGTCCAGAAGCTGTAACAGTGAGTAAGTTTTCATTCTATCACGTGGAGAGAAATAAAAAGATAGGGCAGGTTCTATTATACATAGTGAAAGGCAAAATGATTATTAACAAATTTGGTAAAACTAACCAGTCCTTCTCCAACATTGACAATTCTTTCCTCAACTGAGGAAAGTCTACATTAGATTTCTGTTCCTTTAGTTAGTAAAATACTTTAACTTTAGTAAAGGCTTTAAGTGGATAAAATATCAGAATGGGCAAAATTTAATTAAAGGTTATAGGTTTGCTGCTTCACTTGGCCTTCTGGGGTTAGTACAGTACAGAAAATAAAAAGTAGATCCGACTTTAGAAATTTTCCTCCCCATAATTTATTTCATGGTCTTAATTTATACACTAAAGGAAAGATTATCAACTAGGTTTAAACTATGGTATGTAGCTTTTAAACATTTACATATACACCAACTAGATTTGCACAACTAATTAGACCAAAGATTGATAATTCACCAATAAAAACCTTAAACCTAGAAAGAAAATAGAAACAAGCAAAAGATATACCCAGTATAATCAACTCTCCTTAAATCTCATACACACGTAGGGCTAGAACTAGCTCCTCATGTAGACAAAATAATTAATTTTCATAGTGTTGTGCTGTTGTTTTCAGCCATACTCAAAGGCAAACCTACTTGCATACTGTAAAGACAATTATATACAAAAGATTTTAAAGTATTTCTGACTTACTGTGTTCTCCCTATTGGCCCAAATGACAAAATCTTCAGATATCTGATGCTGAGAACTATTATTTTCTATTTCACTTAGCTTTAAAACTCTGAAAAGGAAAAAAGAATTCTAAAAATCTAAGATCTAAAACACCATCAAAGTGCCAAAGCTGAACTACTGAAATGAAACTCATAAAAATTGTAGTACCAACACTGAATTCTCTTCTCCTGATTAGACTACAATATTAACATCTGATCACTGAAAGTTCATAAAACTCCTTCAAACTTAGATTTTGTTATACAGAAAAATACAGCAACCATGACAATAGGTGGTACTGGAAAAGGTAATGAAGCAGCTTGCTCAGACCTAAACCATTTTCCAAACTGCTCTGAAGAACTTTATCTCTTCTATCCTGCAACAGTTGTCTAATGTCTCACCCCTAACAATGACATTATGGTAGGTATTTGTATTTTTATCTCTGAAGACAGAAATGATATCTAAGAACAACATTTAGAGTTAACTATAAGAGAGACTGGATCAGCAACTAAATCTAAACTAAGAGTTTTCATGATAAGGATGATATTTAAAAACTGCAACTAACAATACTTTTTTCTTAGGATTAAAAGGTCTGATGGTTCAAGCTTATTAAGCAAGAAAAAACAAAATGATTTATTTACCACCCACACAAATCTGCCCACAAATCATTAACAAGCTTCCAAAGCACAATGTTCTCAAAGCTCAAAGTTTCACATGCATGCAAAGAGAACAGCAGGGAGAAGTAGCCAGAGATAGCTGGACACCGCAGAGTTGCCAGAGACAAAGAAATCAGAAACTGTTTTAAATTGCTCAGTTATCTTAATTAACACCAATATTTAAAAGTGTCTACCTGGCAAAAGGACACATGTTCTTTGTGGGCACATATTCTCTCTCTCCCTCTCTGTTTCTGTCTCTTTCTTTCTTTTATGGTACTAAGGACTGAATCCAGGGCTTTGTGCCTGCTATCACTGAGCCACATCCTTAGCCTTTGGACCTTATTTTCCTAAACTCAAACTAGTAAGAGTGGCAACAAACATTAAGATGGGTGGTAATAAGCATTAAAAGTGAGATTAATGGAAATTGAACCAGTTTAAAAAATTTTGTAAAGGTTAGTAAAACTTATTTCATTAAATCCTTTCATTTTCTTTGTAACAGATAGAGAGACATGCACTGATTATTGTGAAGCATAAAAAATAAAGGAGACACTTCCTTTCTTATTCAACACATATGCAATGAGAATCTATTCTGTGCCAAGTACTGTACTCAAAGTTACTGGTGTCAGAAAAACAGATCTTTTTCCTGTCATTATGGAAAACTAATTAAAATTTCACTACATGCTACAGAGCAAGAATACACAGTGTATATAATGAAAATATGATGGGCAAGTTGATCCAGCAAGAGTTTCAGGGAAGGTGTTTGTGAAGAAGTGATATTTAAACTGGGTAGGAGAACAGGTAGAGGAAACAGACTTCCAAAAAGGGAACAGATCCTCAACTGTCTGAAAAGACGGCATGACTAAAATTATCTGAACAAGGTCTTTCAGATCTTGCTATGTTGGTCTTTATCCTAAGAGCAATAAGAAGCTAGGAAAAGGTTAAAATAGAAAATAGGTTTTCACCAGAAATTGAATTTGCCAGTACCTTATTGTACTTTTTAGTCACTGGGGGAAAATAAAAGAAGAAAAAAATGTATTTTTTTGTATTTGTTAATGTTTTTAAAAATCCTTTCCACAGCTAAGAAGAATAGAGAGTGCAAGAATGGATTTTAGGAGTTCTGTAAGTTGGATATTACTGTGGTCTATGTTAGTGATGACTGAAGTCTTACCAAAATGAGGACAGTGGCCAAGGGTAAATAGGTAGACTTAAAATAAATTGGATTGACAGAATGTATGGTGTGTGTGTGTGTGTGTGTGTGTGTGTGTGTGTGTGTGTGTGTGTGTGTGTGTGTGTATGTATGTATGTATGTGTGAGAGAGAGAGAGAGAGAGAGAGAGAATGCAGCCAATTTCTGGCATGAGCCTACATGAGAAATTCGGGCTGGTATATACATTTTGGAGGTTTTGAAGTATTTATCTTTGAAGCCAAAGGAATAACTAGAATCAAGCAGGAAGAGAATGCTGAGTGAGAAGAGAAGACAACCTAAATATTAAGAAAATGTGGTATCTATACACAATGGAATTTTATGCAGCCATGAAGAAGAACGAAATGTTATCATTCACTGGTAAATGGATGGAATTGGAGAACATCATTCTGAGTGAGGTTAGCCTGGCCCAAAAGACCAAAAATTGTATGTTCTCCCTCATATGCGGACATTAGATGAAGGGTGAACACAACAAGGGGATTGGACTTTGATTACATGATAAAGTGAGAGCACAGAAGGGAGGTATGAGGATAGGTAAGACACCTAAAAACCTAGATAGCATTTGTTGCCCTCAATGCAGAGAAACTAAAACAGATACTTTAAAGCAATTGAGGCCAATAGGAGAAGGGGACCAGGAACTAGAGAAAAGGTTAGTTCAAGAATTAACTTAGAAGGTAACACACATGCACAGGAAATCAATGCAAATCGACTCCCTGTATAGCTATCCTTATCTCAACTAGCAAAACCCTTGGTCTTTCCTATTATTGCTTATACTCTCTCTTCAACAAAATTAGAGATAAGGGCAAAATAGTTTCTGCTGGGTAGCAAGGGGGTGGGGAGGAAGAGGGAGGGGGCGGGGAGGGGTTAGGGAGGGAGTGGGGGAAGGGGGGAGAAATGACCCAAACATTGTATGCACATATGAATAAAATAAAAATTTAAAAAAAAAAAAGGATATCCAACAATTAGTGGAAGTCTAGGTAGAGGAGGAAGAGCATGAAAGATTACTAAAAAAGACAGATGAACAAAGACAAAAATATTTAGAACTGTGATGTCAGGGAAGCCAAGTGAAAAATATTTCAAAGGAGGAGAGGTCAACTTGCAGGAGATGTGTATGCCCTGAAAACAAACAAAATAAAATATAAAGCAGTCTACTACTTTTCTTTTGTTAAGGCTGTCTTTCAGAACAAAGACAAATAAATCATCTCCTTTCTTATTAGGCCTAGAGAATTAAGACCTGATGAGGAAGGCCAATCTGTAATTCCCTTTAATTCACACATCATTTATCAAGGAACTTACTCATATGTAATATCTACAAATGGTAATGATGAAGCTAAAAGAATAAAGTCAGATTTTCTAGATGTCAGTCTCTGAGGAAGTATCTTACAACTAGCTAATTATTTCCATAATTACAATAGTTAGTAGGCAAAACTAAAGATGCCAATAAATGCTACCAAAAGCTATTTGTAATTTTGAAGTGCTAATGAAATTACTCACTTGACTTGATTGGGGCCAACATGTATTATTCTTCCAGAAGCATCAGGATGGAAATAGATCCAGTCAGATTCTAGAGAACAACACTCCATTTCTTGGATTCCATTTTTTGCCTGAGTTGAAAAAAAAATTGAAGACAAAGATTGGAGGAAAATCAAATAATTTCCAAAATCTAACACTACAGATGTACCAGTAAATCAAAGGTACAGGAAAAAGAAAATATTCACTAGCTGAACTGGGATGTATTTGAGTACTGAATTAGGACATGCAAACTTGAGAAACTCAGAACATTTAAAGTCAGAAGTTTCAAAAATAAATAAAGTCAGAAATTTCATAGATTTACTCTGTACCATGCATTGTATCTCACAATACTAGTAACGCTAAGTTACCATATCTTAAGCATGTACTTTCCTTTAAGGATTGCAGGAGATGTTTTATGATCACTATTTCATTTTATCTTAATAATACTCAAAGCAGATGTTAATCCCATTTTATGGCTGAGGAGACTAATACAAAAGAGAGTAAATCATTTGCCCAAGGTCTTGAACCTACTAAATTGCAGATCTGACTCTAAAGTCCATGAAATTTCTATAATTATGTACACGCAATTCCTTACAACATCCTACTTACTTCCTTATCACCAGCCACATGTCAATCAGAAGAGTGGGTAGCACACACATAAACATGTAACCAAACCTAAAGTCTCTGACACAGGTCACATAATCAACTTGGATAAGTCAAATATTAATCCTCACATCTGAGAAAATGGTCTAATACTGTTTAGCATTTAAGGCCAAAGACATTTGTTTCACTGTAGTATATTTAGATACTAAAATTAAAAAAACTGCGTCATATGTGACCACATGTATACACAAATGTTTCACCTTATCCAAAGGAGCACTGGGAACAAATACTGACGAGGATATATTGACTTCATTGGCTCTATCCAAATCATTTAACTTCTAGGTTCGGCAATTATTTATGAATATGTTGGAATACATATTTGACTAAATGTTATAGAAGAGATCATCATAGGTATACTTGACATAGATATTGAAGGCCATTATTTATTTATATATGTGTACATATGAAAGAATATGTAATAACAGTTCTTACATAAGAAAAATATGTGCTAAATGTCCAGCAGGTGAATTGTGTAGGGTTTTACTGGATGCAAAAGTGAAAAATAGATGTGACAGATGCTGGTAGCCGAAGGATGTCCTGGCTGGGAAGTGAATAATGAAACCAAGATTTGTCATAGCAGGAAAGAGCTGCTAGATGGTCCTTTATAATACATTACAAAAGATGTTTTTAAATTCTGTGTTACACATGAGTTTGCTATAGTCTCTGTATTTTTCTATTTTAAGTTGTTCACAAATTATTAAAACAAAGGAATTAAAAAGTAACTCTTTGGCATATAGAGTTGTTAGGGAGTAAAGAATTTTTTTAAAAACGTATTTTTTTTAGTAATATTGGGGATTAAACTCAGGGCCTCAAGCTTGCTAGGCAAGTACTCTACAACTTGAGCCACGCCCGCAGTCTGGAGAATTAAACTTTTCTAATACAAATTTACTACTAAAAAGTCTGATTGCTTGTGACTTACCAAGGAATTATCTTTTAGAGCACAAATATGGAAAACTCCTTTCTGTTTCTTCTTATTAGGTGTGATGATGTAGTGCCAAGGATGGCCTCCAATCTGAAATGCATTCTCCAGGGATGAGACCTCAAAGAGCAGTGGTGGTGAGTCTGGAGAGATGAGCAAAAGGAATTTATTAGCTTCTCTTGTCTGGTGGCCTCACACCATTCATTAACTGAATTCAACCTTCTTTGCTTGCATCCTTTATAAAGTTCCATTAATGAAAAATTACTATGTTAAGGGAAATAAAACTCAATCAAGAAAGAAAAATATATAGGGAACTTAAAAAACTAAATTCTCCCAAAACTAACTAACCAATAAAGAAATGGGCAAGTGAACTAAACAGAACTTTCTCAAAAGAAGAAATTCAAATGGCCAAAAAACACATGAAAAAATGCTCACCATCTCTAGCAATAAAGGAAATACAAATTAAAACCACGCTAAGATTCCACCTCACCCCTGTTAGAATAGCCATCATTAGCAACACCACCAACAACAGGTGTTGGCGAGGATGCGGGGAAAAAGGAACACTCTTACACTGTTGGTGGGAATGTAAACTAGTACAACCATTCTGGAAAAAAATTTGGAGGCTACTTAAAAAGCTAAACATTGATCTACCATTTGATCCAGCAATACCACTCTTGGGGATATGCCCAAAAGACTGTTACTCCAGAGGCACCTGCACACCCATGTTTATTGCAGCACTATTCACAATCACAATAGCCAAGTTATGGAAACAGCCAAGATGCCCCACTACTGACAAATGGATCAAGAAAATGTGGTATCTATACATGATGGAACTTTATGCAGCCATGAAGAAGAACAAAATGTTATCATTCACTGGTAAATGGATGGAATTGGAGAACATCATTCTGAGTGAGGTTAGCCTGGGCCAAAAGACCAAAAATTGTATGTTCTCCCTCATATGCGGATATTAGATCAAGGGCAAACACAACAAGGGGATTGAACTTTGGTCACAAGATAAAAGCGAGTGCATACAAGGGAGATATGAGTATAGGTAAGACACCTAAAAAATTAGCTAGCATTTGTTGCCCTCAATGCAGAGAAACCAAAGCAGATACCTTAAAAGCAACTGAGGACAATAGGAGAAGGGGACCAGGAACTAGAGAAAAGGTTAGATCAAAAAGAATTAACCTAGAAGGTAACACACATGCACAGGAAATCAATGTGAGTCAACTCCCTGTATAGCTATCCCTTATCTCAACTAGCAAAAACCCTTGTTCCTTCCTATTATTGCTTATACTCTCTCTTCAACAAAATTAGAGATAAGGGCAAAATAGTTTCTGCTGGGTAGCAAGGGGATGGGGGGAGAGGGAGGGGGCGGAGTGGGTGGTAAGGGATGGGGTGGAGGCAGGGGGGAAAAATGACCCAAGCATTGTATGCAAATATGAATAATAAAAAAATAAAAATTAAAAAAAAAGAAAAATCTAGTAGGAAACAAATATTAGGCTAAAGTTGACTTTCAAGACATAGGTTTTGCAGGGTATATGTGGTTTGCAGGTGAGCAGAGATAAAAGGTGAGCTGAAGGTGCTTATGGTTGGGGGGAAGAAGTCATTTAATATAAACATCTCTATGTAGAAAACTCTAAGTTAGATATAATGCTCAATTCCCATAACAATCTTAACAGATAATTAGGTCTAATAATCCCCTTGAATGTGAGATTTTCTGTGTTGTATGCTAACAAGTATATGCAGCTAACTTTACCAAATCTGTCTTGTACATGGCTAGTTGTGTAGAAGGCACGTTAGTCATAAGAAATGCAACCTCTTAGGATATAGCTTACTAACAAGGGAGGTTTCATTAAAGGGTGACCACCACTACTACTAGTATTATCATCAGACAAGTTAACTTTGAGGTTGACAGATGTCAGTCTCTTTTGGAGATAGACATCAAAGAAGAAATTTGCTGGTGCTTTTTAGTCTTCCTCTTTGATCAGTTTTATTTTGTTTTTTGGTGGCACTGGAGTTTGAACTCAGGACCTCACGCTTGCTGGGCAGGTGCTCTTACCACTTGAGCCACTCTACCAGCCCTAGTTTTGTGATGGGTTTTCTTCAAGATAGGGTCTCAAAAGCTATTTGCCGGGTATTGGCTTCAAAACACGATCCTCCTGATCTCTCCCTCCTGAGATCAGCTGATCAGCTGTAAGTACAGCATTACAGATCTAGTCTTAAATGTCTAAGTAAAAGGTTGTGCAGCTTTAGATCCCAATTCCTTTTGGATAGCCATTGATTAGGTGTGGTAGAAGGATCTCAGTTCTGCCCCAGTCAAAAACTTCCACACCCTATCCAAAAAATAACTATAACAAAAGGGTTGGGGATGTGGCTCAAGTGGCAGAATGCCTGCCTAGCAAGTGTGAGGCTCTCAGCTCAAGCCCAAGTACCACCAAAAAAAGACAAAAAGAAGTCCTTTTCCTAGCAGTTGTTGAAAATGGCACAAATGTAGCAAGTCTCTGCTTACCATAACTCTGATGAGCCTTGCTAATCCTCCAAGAGCCCAAATTTTGATCATTGATGCTATTCTCCATTTAAAAGGCATAGAAGTTTTCAGAGAATAGGTGATGACAAAATTCTCAGAAGGGTCTGGTCAAGATTTTTACCAGGATGTCAGGGGGCAGTGTGAAAAGAAAAACATTAAAAAGAAAGTAACAATTATGATTAAGGTAGGCCAGGCTGGCCTCAAACTCTGGATCTTCCTGCATGTTTCCTGATCTGGGATTATAGACATGTGCTACCAGGTCTGGCTTAATCAGAATACTCTGAGTCTGTGAAATATCAATAATCCTTCAAAGGAGAGTTTTAACATAAAGTATACAAAATGATTCCCATATTGTTTATAAAGGAAAGTGTATAATAGGCTTTTTCTAAAATTTAAAATGTAGGGAATAAGTAACCTTATGTATTTCTTCTGCTATGTAAATGTTTATTGAAAATTTTTAAATATGTGTTAAGTTAACAAGGTACAGAACAGAGTAAGAAAAAGACAATGAAGTATACTTGCACTTGCTAGGCAATTTGAACCACACCCTATCCCTTTTAGTTTTAGTTATTTTTCAGATAGTGTCTTGCTTTATACCTAGGCTCAGCCTGGGACTGCAATCCTCCTTCCTACATAGCTGCGATTACAGGCGTGTACCACTACACCTAGCTTGTTTTATTGAGATGGGAGTCTCACTACTTTTTGCCCAGGTGGCCTTGAAATGTGATCCTCCCGATCTGTAGCTGGGATTATAGATGTGACCCACCATTCCTGGCCAAAATAATATTTACCTTTGAAGGATGAGACAGAGGAAGGAAGTAAAACAGGCTTTTTTTTTACTTCCAGACAACAGGCTGGGAAGTAAAATTTCTCAGAGAGTATATTTTTATGTAGTTTTAATCCTTCAACTATTAAACATTTCATAACTTCAAGAATAAATTCAGAAGAGAAAAATGTAAACCTGAAAATGGAAACAAATTAACCTAATTGCATCAAATTGGTAACACAATTCTATATAAAACTTACTTTAAATTACCTTCAAACAAACTACCTGTTTTTTGTTTTGTTTTGTTTTTTTGGTTCTGCAGCTTGAACTCAGGACAAGCCATACTCCAGACCTTTTTGCTCTAGTTTATTTTTCAGGTAAGGTCTTGTTTTTACCAGGTGCTGGCCTTGGGCCATGATTCTCCTACCTCTGCCACGATTACAGTTACGAACCACCACAGCTGGATTACTTCTTGAGATACGGTCTGTTTTGGTCTAGATCCTACTTCTGCCTCCCATGTCTGGGTTGAATACTAAGAAGAAAAGGGAACTGAAGAGAAATCTGAACCTTTACTCTATGCTTTCATTATTAATAGTAACACTGGTATTACAATTTTAAGACTATCAAATACACACACACACACATTTTAGGATATATATATATCTTTTTTTTCAGTACTGGAGTTTGATCTTAGAGCCTATACCTTGAGCCACTCCACCAGCCCTTTTTTGTGAAGGGTTTTTTTCAAGATAGGGTCCCGAGAACTATTTGCTCTTGCTGGCTTCAAACTGCAATCCTCCTGATCTCTGCCTCTGGAATAGCTAGGATAACAGGCATGAGCCACTGATGCCCAGCAAGGATAAAGTTTTATTGGGAATCAAGAAGTTTGGTGTGAGTGAAAAGAAATACAAAGTGAAAAAAGAATGGTTAAATGTAGAAATAAATGAACTTATAAATTTAGTATTTTCCAATTATTTAATGAAAGGACATCCAATTGTAATGAATGCAGCTGGATCCTGGTCTCTGTTGTGGGTTAAATGTATCCTTCACAAAAGAAATGTTGAAGTCCTGACATATAGTACCTATGAATAACTTTATTTGGTAATAGGGTTTTTGTAGGTATAATCATGTTAAAATGATGTCATACAGGATAAAGGTAGCCCCTAAATTCAGTGACTGATGTCATTAGGAGAGAGATTTGAAGACACAGAGAGAAGGCCACATAAAGAGAGAAGCAGATTGGACTAAGGACTGCCAGCAACCATGAGATGCTAGAAAGGGAAAGGAAGAGTTCTTTTCTAGAGCTTTCAGAATGAGAATAGCTCTGCCAACAGCTGGATTTTGGACTTCTACCTTCCACAGCTGTGAGAGAATACATTTCTGTTGTTTAAAGTTAGCAAGGTTGTGATATTACAGCAATCCTAGGGAAATGAAAGTCTCTGCTGATGTTCCTACTAAGCTCCTTGTCAGATCTAGGACAAGGAAAGTAAAAGGAAAGCCTGGGACAAGTTATTGTTCCAGAAAGAAAGAAACTCTCCAAGACTACTGAACTTTGTTAAAATGGAACTCTTATTGGCCATTGTTGGATCAATTTCAGCATTACTAAGAATAATGATTATAAATATATAATATTATTAAAATAAAAACCCATAAATTGCCAAGTGTAGTGGTACACTCCTATAATCCCAGCACTTGGGAGGCGGAGGCAGGATAGCAAGTTCCAGGTCAAACCTGGGCTACATAGTAATACTCTGTCCCAAAAAACAAAAATCCATTAAGTCTTTTGTGTTTATGCGTGTTGAAAGTAACTATCAGACCAATTCCTTGTTCAGCATATTGTTAAAGAG